CGTTATTATAGAAAATGATGATGCTTTATTTTATTCTAATTTTTATTGTGGTAAAGATGCTGTTAAACATTTTTTATTTGATATCCAGAATCAATTAAATATTTTATTAGATAAAATAAATAGTTATGTAGAAATGAATATAGATACTATTTCTGATAATTATGAACATCAGTGTCATATATGTAAGAAGGGGTTTAATTATGATGATGTCAGAGTAAGAGATCATGATCATTTAACTGGTAATTATCGCGCGAGAGCTCATAACCATTGTAATTTAAATTATAGATTCAAAAAATTTATTCCTATTATACTACATAATTTTACAGGTTATGACTCCCATCTGATTTTCAAAAATATTCCTCCTAAACTATTTTCGAGAATTCAGATTATCCCAGTTAATTCAGAAAAATTTACTACGTTTACTTTAGATCATTTCAAATTTATAGACAGTTTCCAATTTTTAAATTCTTCGCTAACTACTTTAACAGAAAATTTAAAAAATGCAAATTATAATTTTCCTATTTTTAATCAATTTTTCTATAATAACGAAAATAAAAATTTATTAAAAAAACAGGAATTTTTCCCTGTTCTTATTTTAAAAACGAGGATATTTTATACAAGAAATGTGTACCCCGAAAAAATATTTTTATAACGAATTATCTGGAGAAAATATTAGCGATAATGATTATGATCATGCAAAATTAGTTTGGGAAAAATTTTGTTGTAAAAATTTTAAAGATTATTTAAATTTACATCAATATATTGACACTTTATTACTGGCTGATATATTCCAAAATTTTAGAAAATTAAGTTTAAAATATTATGATTTAGATCCAGTATATTTCATAACAGCTCCAGACTTAACATGGAATTGTGGATTAAAAATGACAAAAATTCAATTTGAATTATTTAAAGATATTAATATGTATCTCTTCATCGAAAAGGGGGTCAGGGGGAATCAGTTTAAGGGGAAGATTTTCGCTAGAGCGAATAACCCTCTAATCCCAAAAACCTATGATAAAAATCAAGGTCATAACTATATTATTTCGATACATGCTAATAATCTTTATGGATTTGTGATGAGTTCTTATTTACCTGTAAAAAATTTCAGATGGTTATCTGAGGATGAGATAAATGCTTTAGACTTTCGTAATATTCCTGACAGGAATAATATAGGTTATATTTTAGAGGTTGATTTAAATTATCTACCAAATGTTCATGACCACCATAATGACCTGTCATTAGCTCCTGATCACGCGAATATTCCATTTGATTTATTATCAAATTATCAAAAATCGGTATTAACCAAATTACATTTAAAATATAATAATAATATGAAGAAATTAATTCCCGACTTTGTTTGATAAACAACATTATGTAATTCATTATAGAAAATTAAAATTTTATTTAGAAGAAAGTTTAATATTAATTAAAATTCATCAAGTACTTGCATTTAACCAAGAGCCCTGGCTTAAGAATTACGTAGTTTTTAATAATAGAAAACGGCAGGAATCAACTAATGATTTTGTTAAATCTTTCTTCAAGCTAATGAATAACAGCTTCTTTGGTAAAACATGTCAGAATGTCTGCAAACATTTAAATTTAAAAAAACAGCTATGACTGAAAATGAATGTCGAAAGTATTTATCTCACTCATCTCTCGAAAATTTCCAAATTATTAATGATAATCTCACGATTTTTAAAATAAAAAAATTAACTTATGTTTCGATAAACCAATTTATATAGGTTTTTGTGTATTAAAATTAAGTAAATTGCATATGTATCAAACATTTTATAAAATATTTAAAAATAAATATGGTGAAAATGTAAATTTATTATATACAGATACCGATTCGCTTATGCTTCAAATTTATACAAATAATTTATATAACGACTTTAAATCATTTCCAGATATTTTTTATTTCAGCAACTACCCTAACACACATGAATTATTTGATGTAACAAATAAAAATAAGCTAGGATATTTTAAAGACGAGACAGCATCTAAACCTATAATAGAATTTTGTTCATTAAAACCAAAAATGTATTTGTATATTTTCGATAATGAAAATAAAAAAATGGCTAAAGGAATTAAAAAATCTGTCGTTAAAACCATCAACCACGAGAAATATAAAGAAGTTTTATTTAATACCGAACTATTGAGACATCAGCAGTACGGTATTAAAAGTAAAAATCATGTTGTAACAACATATCTTCAGAATAAAATATCTCTCTCACCGTTTTATGATAAAAAATTTATCTCTTATAATGGTATAGATGTGATATCGTTTGGACATTATAATTTTTATATTTAAATTCTTCCAGATTCTCTGATATCATCGCCCCCCAATACGGTTACATATTATTGTACAAGAAGAAACGAAATTCAAAAACTTATTTAATACATGGTGTTTTGAGTAAAACATATCGTTATTTAAAACAAGCTGTAAATAAAGCTGGATTATTTAAATTACCCAATAATAAGAAATACTATTGTAATTTTTTTTTTGTATTGACTAACCGGATAACGATGGTGTTATGTAATAAAAATTTTATAAAATGTGATTGTTCTAACTGCAATTGTACTGTCTAAAAATGTTGTAACCAATTACCATGTTTATTTTTATATATAAATAAACCTATATCCTAATATTCAGTTTTTTTTTTTTATAGAATTCAAACTCATTACACCACTTGAATGGGAAAAGTTCTCAAGTTTACGATGAAAATAATATAAGACGTTTTAAAAACTATATTAAATGGGAAATTATAAGCCAAAAATCTGATTTAAGCCAAGACTTCATTTCCCGAATTCGCGGATAATTTAAACTGAGAACTAATATGGAAAAGTTATATATTTACTACTATGTTTATCGAAAAACATATTAAACATGCGAAATAGAGTGTAATTTCAGAACATTAAATATTAGACAAAGAATTCATGGATAAGTTTTTGAACTATCTTAATTGGGATAAAATAGAAAATTTTCAACTTCTCTCTGATGATTTTATTAAAAAATATATTGATAAATTAAATATGAGAATAGTTTTAAAATATCAGCGATTAAAAACTGATACTCTGCGGGAATTACAAGATTTTCTCCACTGGGATTTGGTTTCTCGTTATCAAATAATGAATGAAGATTTTATTCACGATTTCAAATACCATCTTTTCTGGTGTTATATTATTAAATATCAGAAACTAGATCATAAATATATCGCTGAAAATTCTCACAGTTTGCTAGTCTATATACTTCAGGAATATTAGTAACATCGTTAATGATATAATGGAAAAATTAAATAAATTCGATAAAGAAGAAGAAAATTAAAATCTGTAACATATCGATATTAAATAAATAAAAAAATAGTTAAAAGAGTCAATTGTTTTTAAATCTAGTAATTAATTGTATTATCTATAAATCAGAAATATATCGCGATATTTCTAATATCGTTGATAAAGAAAAAACTTACGTTCTGTTTTTAAAAAAGGTCCGTATGTGACGAGATGTTGGTAAGTCTATGAACAAAAAATTATTGGATAGATGCAGTCCACACAACTTATTTAGAGGGGACCGCTTTGGGTAGTAATTAACGAAATAGATTTAAAAATGCGGGACTGCTTTGAGGGTATCGATTAACGTGTCGATAATAATTAAAGAATGTGATCCAATAATTCCGTTAAAAAATATATTACCACAGTTTGCTTGTCTATATTCGCGATATCAATCATATTTTCTTTAAAAACTAGCAACAAATTGTTTTTTAAACTCCAATCCTATATTACCTACAGGTTTGAAAAAAAAACACATTGTTGAACCCACGTTATACGTTACCATTAAACAAAGAGTATAACGCGGGGTCGAAACGATTTAGTTCATGGTACAGACTGTACAGCAGAGGGCGCGATTTTCAAATTCAAATATTTTAAAGTTGTATTTTCGTTTTAATTCGATTTGTATTAGTACTTTATATTAAATTCTTATAAAAACTAAATATAATCTATACTGTATCGGTCTTTATTTCAATATAATTCAATTTGCATCATTACTTATGTTAAATACTTATCTCCTGTCTACATTTTTATACTAAATTTATATACTAATTAAAACTAATTAATTTTGTACCCCAAGTGTATCAATCGTATACTCCTTTTGTAATACAATAAATGAAAGTAGTAACATGTGTAATTAGATAGGTTACATGATATATCGAAAAACTCCTTTCCAAATTTCATAAAAACTCCCTAGTCTAATATATAATCGAGAGGAGTTGATGATGATGATAATAATAATAATAATAATAATAATAATAATAATAAGTGCAGAGCCCAAACAGTTAGGAGTTGAAAGTTGAAATTTGGTACACAAATAGGGTACGTCATGAAAACGCACACTAAGAAGGGATTTTTCGAAATTCCCCCCGGGGGGAGAGAGAGAGGATTAAAACTTCTATATACATTATGGATACGAGCCCAAACGGTTAGGAGTTGAAAGTTGAAATTTGGTACACAGTTAGGGTACGTTAGGAGAACGCACACTAAGAAGGGATTTTTCGAAATTCCTCCCCACGGGGGAGAGGGACAGGATTAAGGCTTAACACTTCCATCAACAATGGAAGTGTTAAGTAACAATGGAAGTGCTAAGTAACAATGGAAGTGTTAAGTAACAATGGAAGTTTTAAGTAACAATAAAAGTTTTAAGTAACAATGGAAGTGTCAACAATGGAAATGTTACGTAACAATGGAATTGTTAAGAGAAAGCGACATGCAATACGCAAATGCAGTTTTTTTCGTTTTGCGGGAAATTGAACATATTTTAAGAGCCATCTAAAAATTCCCTAATTAGTCTGGAAACAAGGGGACCCAATTCTTGCATTCTGTGAAAACGGGTAAGGTTGACTGTAACGTAATAATCTTTATCTTTGTTATCGTTACTTTTGCCCGAGCAACGCCGGGCCCACCTGCTAGTTTAACAATAAAGTAACTGAATAGAATTTACATACCAACGGGATTGTTATCCAAAAACGATATCGGAGTTCGAATGATACAACGAAACATATTGTTATGGAGTTTGAAAGAAGCAATTGTAAAGAATCTGTATACCAATAATCCAGAAGATAAAGTCGTTAGAAATACGGCACATATCAATCCAATGTAAACATACATGTTGAATTCTTCACTGTGATAAAAATTTTCGTCTTCAATGTTGTGAAAAATACTTGTATTAGATGTAATATTTTCGAGATTGTCTATGCTGTGGCTATATATTCTTTTATCTTGCAGCCTGAAAATTTAAAATAAAATAACAATTACACGTTGTCATTTCTCTATTTTTTTAACAAAATGAAATACAATTAAATTACTTAAGTGCATTATAAAAAGAAAATACATATAAACGATGTTGACACCTACCGAATGATGATGAGATAATATATCTGATTAACACGTAAAATGATTACAGTAGAAATTTAAGCCAGACTCCCATTATTTACAGTAAGATGTATAACTGTAGACGACATCTCAATCTCTTACCTATGAGATCAATTCTATTGAAGATTGTTTCTGCCTGGAATTACTGAGCACTATTTCCCACACATTGACATTTCTTCAATGTGATAAGAATCTGCTAAGGAAACAGACATTAGAATCTATTGCTAAAGTCCTTGGCAGTAAAACAAGAAATTACTTGAGATCTTGTTCCAGTTTTACAGACCATTGCATTAATGAAGCATTGTAGTCAATACGAGATTATTATTTATGTTTTGTGGAAAAAATATCTCAAACCTTTCCACAATTACAAAGGAAAAAAAATGTCTTCTTCACAAAAGTAATAAATAAATTTTCTTAATGATGAGTTAAACTCATTATTAAGAAAAATATTTATATTAAAAATATATAT